GCACAAAATGACAAGGATGGACCTTAAAATTAAATCAAAACTTTAAGTTAATTAACTACTTACTTTTTTTCAAACTTAACTATTAACTTAACTAGTTAAAAAAAATCATTAATTTGCCCAGCCTTGCAAAATGATTTGCCATATAATTTATATTTTATATTATGTTACAATAATATATAGATATTTTGTTTTCGGAATGGCAACGTTGCATTTTAAATTATGCGGAGTCGTGTATGTATTTATGACATTTTCGAAATCGTGTATGTATTTCAATGGCTATTAAAATCAACACGATTTCGCAAATTTGCGGAATCGTGTTATAGCTGTTATACTGTAGGTACATTATTAAGTGAATGATTTTCGGGAACATTTTGACGTATCAAAATTTTAACAAGTAGGTACCTAGTATTATTTTTTTTAATGTTTTGTACTAAATATAATAACAAGATGTTTAGAAAATATTGTGGCTATAGTGATTTGAAAATGTTAGTACCTAATTAATCCATCAAAATATTTTATAATTAATCAAACCACTTTTAAGGGCTATTATAGTTTAACATTTTAACATCTGTGAAACCAACTCTTTCAGATTTAAAAATTAAAATTAAGTAGTTATCAAGTATCCACTAAATAGTTTACAATTATTAAAAAGGTGAGTTCTCCTTCGAATAAAAAAGAAAAACAGAAGTTTGAATCGCCACAAGACTGCCTATTCTTAAGTAGTAGGTACCTATAAAAAATCTCAATAATTTGAAAATACGGTCTTAAAGTAATATTTTATTTTATTTATTGTTTACAAGTGATCGTGCCTTGATCTTGAACACAAAAATACAATTTATAGGTTAGGTACAACAAAAGTAAAATGTAGTTGCAATCAAAATTAAAAGTTAACAACAATATGAAAATGTTGTGCACATATTTATGTTATACAGGGTGTATCTTATGTCATTGTACGCGGGGTTTTTTGACGATTACGGAACGATGATATGGAATTTCGTTAAAACGAAAAAAGACGTGTTTCTTTATTTTTAACAAGCAATTTTTTTATAACAATTTCAAAATTTTTAAATACGCAGGTGTACCAATAGCAAAATCAACTTTTTTTTCAAATGGTAACCACTATATTTTTTAATGGATTCTGGTAAAGCTTTTTTTTCTGAACATTTTGGTAGTCGAATCGTCAATTTTGGTTAGCTAGTTTATTAACTATGGTCCTCCAAAGATTAGTAAAATATGCATTGATACTTTTAATTGAAATAATGGGTATAGGTTTAATTCACAAGCGCTAAACAATTTTTTCTTATAACTACCATTTACAACTATAAATACACTACAATAGTTGAATCGGTAATCTAATGACACCCTCAAAAAAAAAAAAAAAAATAACAAACATAATATTGTTTGTAAACATACTTCATTATTTTTATTTTAACATAAGATCATAAAAATCAATATTATTATTTTAATATCCAAAACTAAAAAGGATGGAAAGGGATGAATTACAACTCCTAAGTTCATACTTTGGATGCGATACCATTATAGGGAATCTATGGTTAAAATATCAAGTTTATACTTTATAGTTTATACCACTACGAAAAGAGCACCACAAAACATTGCACTTTTTTCGTTGCACATATTAATGTCATCAATCGAATACCATTTACCAATTTACCATTATTACCTTAGCCACCTACCTAATTAAGAATTCAAATTTATGATATTGTAAGAAAAGTAACTGTGATGAAAAAAATGTAAAGTAATAATTTACGATTATAATAATAAATTAAAATAATAATATTGATTTTTATGATGGTATGTTAAAATAAAAATAATGAAGTATGTTTACAAACAATATTATGTTTGTTATTTTTTTTTTTTTTTTGAGGGTGTCATTAGATTACCGATTCAACTATTGTAGTGTATTTATAGTTGTAAATGGTAGTTATAAGAAAAAATTGTTTAGCGCTTGTGAATTAAACCTATACCCATTATTTCAATTAAGGGGGACGAGGTGGCCGAGCGGTCGGACACGTCGTCTGCGGCGCTGGCGGTCGCGGGTTCGATCCTCTCGACCACGGGGCGGTATTTTTCTCCGGGCAAGTCACGGCGTCCGGAGAACAAGTGCCGCCATCCCCCACTCCGGGGCATGGCAGAAACCTACGGGTGCCCCATTCAAAATTCTGCCAAACCCAACACACACGTGTTCCCCCCCCCTACCGACATAACAACACACAAATAAAACCACTACAGCTAATGGCCATAGTTGCCGAAGCTTAAGATCAATAAAAAAAAAAAAAAAAAAAAAAATATTTCAATTAAAAGTATTAATGCATATTTTACTAATCTTTGGAGGACCATAGTTAATAAACTAGCTAACCAAAATTGACGATTCGACTACCAAAATGTTCAGAAAAAAAAGCTTTACCAGAATCCATTAAAAAATATAGTGGTTACCATTTGAAAAAAAAAAGTTGATTTTGCTATTGGTACACCTGCGTGTTTAAAAATTTTGAAATTGTTTTAAAAAATTGCTTGTTAAAAATAAAGAAACACGTCTTTTTTCGTTTTAACGAAATTCCATATCATCGTTCCGTAATTGTCAAAAAACGCCGCGTACAATGACATAAGATACACCCTGTATAAACATTATGACGTCGAAAATTAATACAATTACCTATCTATACCAACACTACACTATAAAATGGCGGTCCTCAAAGGAATTTGTCATAGGTGAGACACTAAGGCGTCTCAGTGATCCATTTGATATATAACTATAGTTAGGTAGGTAGTGGTGTAGATTCTACACTGTCACTGTAGAAGACGTAATAAGAAGGAAGCGTGCATGGATCTATAACGTCTCTGAGGGACTTTAAAATTAATTAAGGTCTTAAGGATAAAAGGTGGTACGGAGAAATTAACTTTAACTTATAAGTTATCTCAACCTATTCAGGTACCCATCTATCTACTTTCTAAAATCGCAAACTAATTCTACCATCAACCAGCAAGTTTAATTCAATGGGATATCAGCAATGAGGTGCGAACTGCGAAGCTCTATAATAATATAATAATAATATGTGATATTTTGGCACCCGAATTCTTGTCGATTGTTATATAGCCATATAACTATATGTCGTATAGGTTAGTACCTACTACCTACCTATCTATTTATATTAAGTTGGAGAACGGACGACTTCGGTCTACGGGTTTATTTCCAATTACCAAATTGGTTCCCGGGTGGTCTACAGCCTACAGGTAACCTGCGAAATGGTTCCAATGAACTTTCATTTTAATAATAAAACTATGTTGAAATGAACTATTTCAACTTTAGTTTCAATCTTGAAACGGGTAATGAGCATTTTAAAATTTACGAAAATTCTGAACGTATAATTGTCATTTCTCATGTTATGAGTTAGTAAGACGGAGACAACACATGCGGGATTAACGATTTACAAAATGTTTGGAAGATATGACAATTTTAAATTGAAATTATATTTGAATAAGTCAGATGTGGTCCAGACCCCCCCCTCCCCATTTAACTCATAAATACATATCTAACCATCTAATTTATATACTAATATATTCTGTAGCGGGCCCCCCTCCCACTTAAATATGTTTGAAAAATTAGCTGGACCCTCTCCTTGAAAGATTCCTAAATATACCACTGTGTTACAACATGTTGTTATTCTGGAAATAACCCTGAGGTGCCATTATAATCATGTTTGTATAGTTTCTAGGAATTCGTGGCTCCATATCAATACCTAAAAAGTATTCCTACAAGTACAAACAAAAATACAAAAAAAAAAAAACAATTTTTTCATTTTATTAGCTGGATGGATATAAAATAATTTGGCCCTCTTCCGAATGATGTAAGGTGACACTTGGTATTATACTATTATATCGTTATTTTTATTTTTTATAGCTGATGGTAATAGGAAGATATTGTAAGAATTAAATAATATGCATAATGTATGTGATAAATGATAATCGTCTCATTTTATTTATTTTTTAATTTATTGATTATGTAATTAGTATTATAAAGTACAAAGAAGTTTATAATACCTATTTATTACATATTTTAATAAGATTTAATATAAAGGAAAAACTTTTCATCACATCACTTTTAACACATTTAATATATATAAAAAACAATCTTATAAGAGCATAAAACCAACATTGGTTTAGAAAACATAGGTAATATTAAATAATATTTTTAGTCATTATGCTATACATTTTAAAACAAGATAACAACATTTTTAGTAACGGAGAGTAACAAGTTTTACAGTTTTAGGTTAGAAAAATTGGTTTTGACTTAACTTTATGTTATTTATATACCGGGTGTTTCATATAACAAAGAACACTCATTATTCAAAAAGTATTTGTTTATGAAAATACTTTTCATCGTTATAATTTTTAAGTTTTTACTTTTTTGATTTACAACATACCGTTTTAACTTCATCTTCAAAAGCAGAATATTTTGCTGAGTATTTCGATGTATGAGAATCGAATTTAGAACGAGTAGTTTATGAGTTATAATTACCTCTTTAAAGTTTACATGAGTGGAGTAGTGCACCAACATTGTTTGGGGTAACCACATACCACTCCACTCAGTGGCACAACTAGGGGGGTGGACTCCGGGTCTGGACCCCCCCCCCCTTGGCACCCATAATAGTAAATTAATATCATATAATTCTCATAAAACTTGAATAAAATATATAAATTTATTTTTTGACTACAACAATTAAGTAATGTTGAAGCTACAGTGCTACACTGCTACAGTGCAATAGCCAATAATTTGATACTTTTCATGACCATGGTTCTAAACATAGCGAGTAAATCTTAAATCGTGGGTTCTAGATAACTGATTTATCAACAACTGTTATCAAATACAATACATTTCGAATAATTGTTACGATTGTGACATTTTTGTTTTATTTTTTTCGGTCATCTTAGGACTATATAGTCATATTGGTTTATACTGTTTATAGTACTAAAAATTAACAATGAATAGTTCTATAAAAGATTTTTTTACTACCAGTAGACATAGAACTAATATTAATGATCTCGGTGTAAAATCAGTTGTTGCTACTTCTTCACAAGTTAATGATCAAAGTGTTTCTTCAGTCGAGTGTTCTACAAGTACCAACGATTCTAAAGAAACTGAAGACAACAATCATAGCACTTTTGATATAATGGCATATATTGGTAAACAAATGTCAAGTAATGAAGAAGATGAAGTCATTGATGTATTAACTTCAATAAAACGCCACTTAGATTTTTCCTTGTAAAAAAATGTCTTAATTAGTACTTATTTAATGTTTAAAATAATAATAATAATAATTAAAAGACATTGGTATATTGTTTATTAAAACTAAGATGGTTTATTTTGTCAGACCCCCCCCCCCTAGGAAAAATCCCTGGTTGCGCCACTGACTCCACTCGATCCACTCATCTAAATTTTAAATTCTTAGGTCTCATAAATAACTTGTCCTAAATTCAATTAGTATGTATCAAAATACTTAAAAAATATTTTGCTTGGAATTTGAGATTAAAACTATGTTGTCATTCAAAAAAGTAAGAAACTTAAAAAATGTTAAAAACGTATATTTTATAAAAATGGTTTTTGGCAACTAGAAACTATATTGTAAAACATTTTTTTTTTAAAACTTATATTTTTGGAAATAATGAGTGTTCACTGATGAAAAAATCAACTGATATAATTTAACGATAACATTATGTTCGTATATACACTAGTATTTATGTTCGATTTAGTATTGTAAAATACCTCTGGTTACTTAATACAACAGTATGTCCCACATACATAAATACATTTATCATTTAAACAATTTTCTATTAAGAAAGAGGGAATATAATATACTAGTGAGGGCAAACACAAATATAATACAGGTTCTTAACCTATATTGTATACAAGAAAGTTTGACCTAATTAAAACCAGTAAGAAGCAATATTTAATTGTTGGCAAGCAGTGGTACAATTTAAATATTTTCAAAGGACATAAGGACATGCAAATACATGAAACTGAGCAGACAAATTCAGGCTTATATAATCTGAATTTGGGTTGGATACAACTTTTATTATATCACCTGGTACCTTATTTGGAACGAGTGTTTGATAAACAATTAAACAATCGTATATGGTTTGCACAGTGATATCGTCTTCCAAAATGTGACAAAAACGATCATTCAACGTAAATAATATGATGTATAACATTGTTTTTGTTTTTACAAATTCCATTTGTTACCTATTCTACCGCTCGCATTGTGTGTACGTATAATAGATGGTAATGTTATTATTATATTAACCACAACAGACACACATATTTATGGAACCTCGGGCTCTTGTATGGGTATGACACCGACTCCGACTCCACCTTCATGGGCACACATGGATGCTGCAAATGTCCAGCAGTCAGCTTTCGGATCATACACTTCTACAGTGGGTAGATTCAAAAATCCATCATACCCACCAATGGCCCACAATTTTCCAGCATTGGCTACCAACGCCACACGGCTCCTTGTCACGTTCATTGAAGCCACAAATCTCCACCTGTAGAACCACAATAGTAAATTTAACTACACTTTAACTAAACATCATGTTTTATAAGTCATTACTTGTCCGTCTGAGGATCATATTCTTCAACAGTTTGTAAAAATGTTGATCCATCATATCCACCACATGCATAAAGTTTACCATTCAATGTGGCCACTCCTAAGCGACAACGTTTTATTAACATAGGTGTAACAGATAGCCATTGACCTGTATAAGTATCATATCGTTCAACCTGTTAAACAAATAACATTTTATTTACTAATAGAACAATGATTGTAATTTTTTTTTTATTTAACGTTTATTTATCATTATTAATGGGATAATGTTTATGGAATTACATCTATTATTTCTAAAACTGGAAAGAATTTTGTGTTATGAACTTATATTTGCAAATTTGTTTTGTATATAATGGATAACGCATATTTTGGATATATTTTTAAAATCTATGTCTATTTTAATATATTTTTTAAAAACTTTATTTTGTGGAAATTTGCAATATCAAAATAAAGTAAGATGACTTCAATTTTAAATGGAACCTAGAACAAGAAATCAAATTTTTATTTATTAAGATTTTACAGTAATTTATTTGATTATTTTTAAATTTTGCAGACTGTTATGCATATCATTTATTATATTTTTATTTTTATGGCGAATTATGCATATTTTGATACCTATTTTATAGTACATATTATATAATTGTATGTATTATTAATTGTTATTGTTTTATATTATTATCAACTTACTGAGTCAAAAATACTTAGACCATCGTGACCTCCGAGAATATAAATATAACCATCAAACGCAACTACTCCACCAGCACTTCTATGTTTTTGCATTGGTGTAATGATTGTCCATCGATCTAAATCGGGTTGATAACATTCAACAATATTTAATGAACTGACTCCATCAAAACCTCCACACACGTATAGTCGATCATTTAGTGCAGCTGCTCCAAGGGCACTAAAATATAATATAATATTTAATTGTTTAGCAATATTTTAATATATGCAAGAACCAAACACATTCATTGAAAATAAATATAAAATTGAATGCCAACATGTATAAATCTGTTATGCATCAGAATGACTGACCTGCGTTTTCGATGCATTGGTGAAACTATATTCCAAGATTTTGTTGCAGGATCAAATACTTCTACTGAAGATAGTCTTTCTATTCCATTATAGCCTCCAAACGCATATAATTTATTATTTAATACGGCTACTCCAACTCTACTACGTAGTATACTCATAGCTTCTGCAAGCTCCCATCGTTCAGTCAAGGGATTATAGACTTCTACAGTACTTAGTGAATCACCTAAAATCAAAAATTGTAATGTTTTATTATAAAGATAAGAAATGTTATCTAAATTATTTAAATACACAAATACCTGATTTTGTAAGTCCACCAACTGCATAAATGTGTCCACGAATATAACTGACACAGCGAGGTCTAGTGCGAAAGCTTTGTAACAAAAGTCTTCTTTCAGGCATTAAATGGTAGTCTTTAGCTTCATCTAATAAATCTCTAAACAATAAATAAATAAATAAATAAATGTGTTATATTATAATCAATCTTATTTAAAAATTATATTAGTAGTATTAGATATATTTATTTAAAAATTGTACAATATTATTATAATATGAACTGATTAATTTAAATTAACTGAATCAATCAATTGGAAAATTAGATAATAAATAAAATTATATTTTCTTAAAGTATTTTACACATTTGCAGTAATTTATTTGGAGGCGTTTACTTTCTAAAATATAAATACTGGATAAACCTCAAAAGTTTAAATCAATTTTAGTGCATAGGTAAGTAACTATTATTTCAATATTATGAAAATTCTAAACATCATTATACATAACAAATAAAAATACAATGCAAGAATTTTTAACCTGCATTCGTGAGATGATCTAATTAATTCTTCAGTAGCAACTCTATCAGCCAAGTAATGAGGTGAAAGTAATGGTAATCTTACAGCAGCAAGCAATTGAGGAAAACATTCTTGTCTTAATTCGTCTTGTTTCACCCAACGAATAGTTGCTTCGAATACCTAAAAAAAATTTTAATAGTTACTTTTTGATTTGATATTTTACTTAATTGTTGTAAAATCAATATTAGGTACCTGTTCTTCAGATGCTTGTAGCTCATCTTTATTGACTATGTCAATTATTTCAGAAATATTAAGATTTAGGAAGTCTTCAGATAGTGATATATCAGGGAAATACTGAGCTATATATCTATTAGAATCAGTCATTAAGCCAAAGCATCCCAACGAATCAGCTAATGTACGTACTTTTAAAACATTATTTTGATGAAACCTAAAATGTAATACATTATTATGAGTTATGACATTAGGTAAAGAAACCAATAACTAAAATACTGAGTGATTCTTTTATCAAACAACACTCATTATTTCAAAAAGTGTACATTTTTTTGAAAATATTTTTTTACATAGTTTCAAGTCGCTTATAAAACAACGTTTTTATTAAAAAATTATATTTTTAAATATTTTTTATCCTTATAATTTTTTAAGTTTTTTACTTTTTTGAATAACAACATAGGGTTTTAATTTTATATTCCAAAGCAGAATATTTTTCTTAGTATTTTGATACATGAAAATCGAATTTGTGTTGAGTAGTTTATGAGTTATAAGTATTTAAAGTTTAGACGAGCGGAGTGGAGTGGTTCGGGGTTACCCCGCGAAATGCTTGTCCACTTCACCGCTCATCAAACTTTGAATATTTATAACTCATAAACTACTCAACCCAAATTCGATTTTCATGTATCAAAATACTAAGAAAAATATTCTGCTTAAGCGACTTGAAACTATGTAAAAAAATATCTTCAAAAAAATTTACACTTTTTGAAATAATGAGTGTTGTTTGATAAAAGAATCACCCAGTATATGTACAACAATTATTTGAATTTTAAACTTTAGAATTATTCATAAAAATCTTATTTAGGGCGAGTAGTTTATGAGTTATAAGTATTTAAAGTTTAGATGGGCGGAGTGGAGTGGTAGGGTTAGGTTAGTGTTAGGTTAGGTTTATATTAGGTTGAGCGTTTCATGGTAAAAGAATCACCTTATACATAAGGTATGCAAATAATAAAAAATAATTATATAAAATTATGTAGATAACCAACCCTTACAGATTGCATATATAATTTAGAATATCATTGACTTTTAAAAAAGTTTTTGTTGATTTGTGGTAACTAATTAAGTTTATTCACTTTTAAGTAACCAACTCTACCTTAATAACATAGTTTGGGTAAAATTATGGTTGAAATAATGTGATATTTTAATCATAAGTACGCTTTTTTAAACATATAACTAAGTATTACAAAAATATTTTTACTAGATATTTGTATTATACATTTATACCTGCAATACATAAAAGGTTTTCAAGAAGCAAAATTTGATATGTACTGACTTGTATCAAAATTAGTTTGATACGGATCGTACATTTTGCTAATATACCACATACAATTTCTTGATCGTTTGATACTGAGGCAGTACATATTGATACACTCCTTGAAAATCTTGATACAGAATTTTATAATTTAAAATGAATATTTTTCCTGTATCTAGTATTATCTTTTATTTTTTCAAATACTTTACTTTATTTTGAAACAAATATCTCACAAAAAAACAATTTAACTATCTAATATATATTTGTTGAGTAACATATGTATTTCAAAAAATTAAATTTTAATTAGGTACCTTTCTTTAATGAATGTTGCACAAGCATTTCGTACCCATTTCAACTGCAAAAATGAAGCTCCAATTAATAGTGACTGAACATTATTGACATTTATTGATATTCGGCCACTGTATGCAAAATTAATCAATGCTTCCAATGCTCTAAAATTAAAAAAAAAAAAAAAATTAAACATCTTTATTATATTTATGAATATCCTTTATTTTTAAACAAATCTTACTCAGGATCAATTCCGTGCATCACAATATCTTTTTGGGTACTTTCAATCATGTCGTGTGTAAACATAGCATTAAAATACGGTACCGTGGCGGCTAAAACTATGCGATGGGCACTAAATGACATGTTTTCTACCTAATTAAAAACAATTGGTTACCTAGCTTAAAAAATTAAATAAAAAAACAATAGCTATTTTCTGTAAATTGGCTTACTTTCAGTGTGACATCGCACAGTTTTCCCATACGGCGTATTCCCTCAATCGCCGAGAAACTCTGAGAAAACAGATCGGCCTGATGATACACAAAGTATTCATTTTCAATGGACGATGATTTCGGAAATGGTATCTTTATGGAAGAATGCAATTTGGCCGGGTTGAAGGCCATGTTTTGTTGATCAATTGTCGCCTCCAGTGCCATCTCGAAAAGCATCTGTCCTTTGAGGTGATTTACGCAGAAAGGGATAGTAAGAACAACTACACGAAAGAAAAATCTATTATAACAACAACACACAGATGGAATTGATAGTTTAAAGCTGTTAGATTTTGATTGTCAATATTGGTAAATAAAAATATAATAAGGTAAATATTTATATGTCCTGTCGCAGAATAGATGACATTTTAACCACTTTGTGGTCCTGACTCCTCACAATAATATAATAATAAGTAACATAACAGCATTGCTTAAATTTATCCCTTCTAAGAATTAAATTAATGAGGGACAAGGGACATGCTCTTAGATCATATACCTTGTTTTATTATTTTAACCCATTGACAATTTTTTGAAATACAAAGAATTTCCTAGGTACCTACTAAAGAATAATTAATATTTTAAATTACTAAGTAAAACTGTTGAACCGAAATCTGAATTGAATTGCCAAATTTCTGTGAAGTGTTAAAATGATGAAAAAGTGCTGCAGTTCCCGCACGACCACGATAGTACTATCACAAAATAGATGAAATAACATAAATATCACGAATTAAAATAACCAGACAGTAAATAAAAACGGTTTATATCACTAGAAAAAAAAACGGTTTATATCACTAGAAAAACGGTTTATATCACTTTCATGGATGAAAATATCATATCAGTTTGGCTTGGAATAAACAACAATTAACATTATCGCAGGCCGCTGAATTTAAAAATATTTAATATTTATAACATATACAAATACAATTTCACAACTGACCATTGCCGTACCTGGGGGGGGGGGGGTTACCCCCCGAAGGCCGAAATGTTTTCAACATATCTTATTTTCAACCAAATATCAAAACATATAAATTCAATAAAATTACAATATACATGTTATGGACCCACCTCCGAAAAAAATTTCTGGATGTGGCCTTGCAACTGAATATAATATAATGACATAAATTTCCAATCATATTGTGTACTACTTTACTTAGTATATTTATTAGGCAGTGGTAATGTGGTATTTAGATTATGTTTTATGAGTCTTAACATAGTAACTGGTAAGACAAAAAGTAATAACATATTAAACTATATACTTATGTATTATTTATGTGTTTAGGTAGTTTCAGGTAAGCATTATATAAGATTGTTAATTTATTATTCATTATTATTCTCTTAGGCTCTACGCCATACATGTCGGCTTATTGAACTTAAATAAACAATCTTACATATACAATTCATTATTTGAATAATTAAATATGGAAATAAATCATTATACGTTATTGTTTATGTTCAATGTCATTAAAATTGAAATATTTATCTCGTATAAATATAACTGAAGTTATATTGCTAAATTCAAAACAAATTACTACCAATCATACCAATATAATAAATGCATATTTAATATACGCATACAATTAATAGTGCTTTATGATAGACAACTCTGACTATATTATGTACTAATGAACTGTATAACACTATCGGTTAATTTTCTTCACAGCCCCCGTTTACTTAAGTGTAATTTATATTTTTACACTAACCATGATCAACATCTCAAAAAAGTAATAATATTCTAGTACCAATAATATAAATAATAATGTATATAACATTTTATGTATAATATATTCATAACCTTTTTGAATGTCTGAACACTTAATATTTTATAACATTTTGTGTAACACAGCCGTAAAATAAAACAGTATTTATATAAGTTTTTACATTTTATAGTATATTAAACAATGCATAAATAGCTCAAAATAGTTTACATACATATTTGTCATTAAAAATTATAAAAGTAATGAATACAGTTTAAAAAAAAATCAGAATCTGTGGAACACCACTGATCCTTATTATGGTTTAAGTGTTAAACTGTGTCATTATTATTATTATTATTATTATTATCAAATTATTATTTGTTTTAGAAAAATGTAAATACCAAGTTCTTTGAACAATTTTGAATTGGAATATTCAAATTGTACCAATTAGTAATTTAGTTATTTGCTGTATTAATCATAAGTTAAATATAAAATCTTATTTAATTATATTTAATACAGTTATTAGATAGATAATACATTTATTAGGGTTTCACTAATGTTTATCATAAAGCTACTTTGAATGACCAAAAATTAATGAATACAATTTCCATAACTCATGTAGTCATGTCTAACTAAATTTCTGAGCTCTGAACTAGGTATATGTTGCCACTTTCCTATTCACATCTACACAGCCTGGTCTTCGAAGATCTGCACTACTAAAATTGGCTACCTTACTTCTTCACAGTCGGACAATGGTAGTATGGTATAGTCTACAAAATTAAAAAAATACATTTATTAGGGTTTCACTAATGTTTATCATAAAGCTACTTTGAATGACCAAAATTAATGAATACAATTTTCATAAGTCATGTCTAACTAAATTTCTGAAGTCTGAACTAGGTATATGTTGCCACTTTCCAATTCACATCTACACATCCTGGTCTTCGAAGATCTGCTCTACTAAAATTGGCTACCTTACTTCTTCACAGTCGGTCAATGGTAGTATGGTATAGTCTACAAAATTAAAAAAATACATTTATTAGGGTTTTACTAATGTTTATCATAAAGTTACTTTGATTGTCCAAAGATTAATGAATCCAGTTTCCATAAATCATCTCTAACTAAATTTCTAAAGTCTGAACTATGTATATTTTGCCATTTTCCAATACACGTCTATACATCCTGGTCTTCGAAGATCTGCACTATTAAAATTGGCTACCTACTTCTTCACAGTTGGACAATGGCAGTATGGTATACCCTTCAAAATAAAAAAAAACACAATATAGAAAATAATATTAAGATTTAAAAACAATTTAAAAGAATAATACATTACTTTAAAACCAAGAGAGGCATGATTAATTTTTAATACTTCAATTAAAAAATAAAAATGTCTTTAAAGCGCCCTTCCTCCTTTTTCATACGGACTGAGGACCGTCAATGGTGGAGTTAACACTAAGATTTGCAATTGTGGGCATGTCAATGAATATAATTAACTCAAGATAACCTAAGTTAAGTGAACACAAGATTGTTCTAACTCAAAAGTTGATAGTTAATAAATAATAAATTTAACTGGTTACATTCTGAATTGAAGTTAATTTTAAAACAATTAACTTTTTTTTTTAATTTAAACATTTTTACTACCTACCTAGTTAATTCCCACTTTTAAAGATATGACTTAGTTACATAGGTACTCAATCTTATGTTAGGTAATTGATTCCATTTTACTCTACGTGTAATTTATAAATTACACCCAACTTATGTAACCAACCATTCATTACTTACAATAGGTATTGTATTAGTTTGTTTATCTTTATTTTATATTAGTTTTTATTTTGTACTTTATTATTTTGTAATTATAAAATAGGTACCTACTTAATTAATATACTTATTGCATAAGATACAAGTGAAGTTTTCATTTTTCAATTCCTTAGTCATAAATTTGTAGCATACACCACCTACACACACATTATGAACTCTTCGCTCACATGTATTGCACTTAATCCAAGTAAAACTTACTTTTATATTTTGTGCACACATAAGGCATCTTTCACTGATATTATCAGAGTACATTAAACATCGATTCTGCAATGTATTTCTTAAATCACTCACATTAACTTCCTTTGAAAAGCTCTGAGTAAACATTGGATTGTATGTACTACAATAATACAACACAAACACTCCACAACTGTTACTATCATTCTGTAAAGGATACTCAATATTTTTAAGAACCATTTTATGCAGCAAATATTTTGCTTTTTCATTACCACACATTGAAAACAACATTTCTTTTAATCGAGGTAAGTACAAGTCACCGGATTCTGGACGCAGAGGATCCAAGTAAAATA